TGCATACCTTAGAAACACGAAATCTTTGCATAAAAATATATGCTTATGATGATCATTTAAATTGTATCATTTTTAATATTCAAGAAATCAAAATTAAACAGGTGTTTAGTCATTACATGTTGATGTTTATTACATTTTCTCAATTCATTATCTAAAGAAAATACAAAACCAAGAGAATTTGATCTAACCTCTCTTGATTTATATTTTCCACTTTTACTTATATTACACTTGCCTTTCTCAAAACTAGAGGGTGGACAATTCCAAGAAAATCAGTTCTAAATAAGCTCTGAATAGCTGTTTCATGAAACAGAAGCAGAAACAGTAACTCCCTTCCATCTTTGTTCACTAAACCAATGTTTTTAAAGTGACTGACACACACGCTCAGCACTCCCTCTTAAGTATTTAGTGATCTGTAATAATCACAGGGGAAAGACAGCAACTATAGCACTTCCAATATATTCAAGGTAGTGACAGAATTCATCCCTGCAAGGTAAATTACAGAAAGTTTCTTTTTTTGTGTGTGTGTGATATGATAGATCAACATGTGATAACTCAATAGGCGCTTCTTGTAAAAACAGCTCAAACCCACATTAGTAATGGGAAGATGACACAATCCTCCTGAAATTCTTCTCTCTGTATCTTACCTAATATCAAGACAAATTACCAACATTTCAAACAGTAACGGCTAAAACATTCTGTAAAACATAAGACATAGTTTCCACTTCCCACAAATACATGACAAATAGAATTTACTTCAGGGAAGACGTAGGATTATTTGTTTTTTGACAACTCTTCATATAATTCCCTTCTGAGATATAACAATCATGCTATCATAACCATTAAGATCAGCAACAGCAAAATAATAATCAATAATGGGAGAATAATCCAAGTAGAAGGATCAGCAAGAACACAGGCTGAGGTAAAAGCATGCCTGGTGTACCTGAGGAATAAGGAAGGCCAGTGCGGGTGGAGCAAAGGGGAAAAGGGGAGAAAATGGACAGAGGTGAGTAAGAGATAAGCAGCCGGTATGGGGAGGGGAGCCAGGTCATGTGAAGCCTCATGGGTCATTTATAAGGAATTTGGCTTTTACTGTGAGTGAGAAGGGAAACCACTGAAGAATTCAGAATGGAAGAGTGTAAAATGTAACGTATTTCAATAGTATTGCTGTTTTACTGAGAAAAGGCAAAAAAGGAAAAGGCGGCGAAAGCAGGAAGACCAGTCAGAAAACTACTAAAATAATCCAGGCAAGAGCTGATGGTGGCTTGGACCAATGTGGAGGCAGGGCAGACAGTAGTAAGCAGATTCTGTATAATCAACAGGATTTATCAAAGAAGGTATCAGACAGACCAAGAAACTAAAATGAAGCAACTAAAGTAGTAGGATGAAAACTGAACAAGTAAGGTGTCCCAGAAGCCAAGTGAAGAAAATATTTCACGAAGAAGACAGTAATAAACAATCTTAATCAAATAAAGAAAGACTGATGAGAACATTTGGATTCAATGACACACAGTTGAGCTGAAAAACCTGACTGGAGTGTGTTCCAGAAAAAAAGGGAGAAGAAAAACTAAAGATATTGTGTACAGACAACTTTTGCAAAGAAATGAGGCAGTGGCTGGAGAAGGAAACAGGGACAGGATTTTTCCCTCCTTTTTTTTGGATGCAAGAACATATTATAGGCTAGTGGGAATGATCTAAAAGAGAGGAAAAATGATACATGAGAGAGAAATGCTAGAGCAATGAGGAGGAGAAAACTAGTAATTAAGTGGGTGAGTTGGCCTCAGCTAGGAGCAAGGGTCATCCACTTCTCAAAGAAGGGAGTAGAGCAAGGACACAGATGCAGAGTCTGATTCCTTCTGACTCCCTAGTGAACTAGGAAGCAACATGCTAGAACCGCTAGGGGTTACAGGAGAATGTATCAGCAGCTGTCTAGAAGTATGGGAGAGTAAAATGACCAAGGAAATATGACACGATTATTGGGTAGCATTAAGGACTAAATGAGGTTAGGGATCATGAATTTAAAGTGAAGCCTGCATGTATGGTTATCTTTTTTTTCCCTCTAAGTATGTTTAGACATGTGAATACAAGCAAAGAGTTGAGTATATACAAGCATATGATTATCATGACTGACCATGGAATTTAAGCAAGGCAAGGAAAGTAAGACATAAGGAGGATCAGGAACAGCGAGAAAATGACAGATTTAAGACTGAAGGTCCCAAAGAGACACTGAAGAGATATAATGAACATAGGAAGAGAATAGAGAATCTGGATATAAACATGTCTATTTTTCTAAGACTGCCATGCATCTATTAATAAACGAATTGAACAGTCAAAAATGTATAACTATAGCTATAAAAGTATCAGTAAACATTTTTATCCTTAAAAAAAATTTAAAAAGAAGACTGAAGTCCCAACAGGCTCAAAGAACTGTTGGAGTAATATAAATCATGATATGAAAAGATAAGAGATGGTAGAGAGTGGAAGCTGAAATTGAGATGATGGAGGGATTGAAGTTTAAATAAAGACAATGTCAAAGAAATGAGAAAATTCCAAAAGAAAATTCCAGTTTTGACAATACCAGTGTACTGAATGAATTATTCACATTAAGACTGAAATAACCAAGAATTATAACACAAGTAGTACTACGTGAATGTCACTGAACTAGGAACTAAAATCTGTTAGACAATTCTGCATGGGCCTTCCATTTCTGCATATCATGGGAACAGACGTAGTGACTGCCTTTATTGTGGACTGTCTTGCCAAGTAAGCTTGTATAGCCAACAGCTTTGGAAACCAGATAGTGTTTCCCTCCAAAGCAAAGGGTAGGTTTATCTACACCCTTGGAAGATATTCTCTTCCTCCAGGACATGGGCAGACATGCTAAGTGTCCATTATAAAAGATTCCAGTTCCCTAAGCTTGGGCTTCCTCTCCTATAATGCAATCCACTGTGCATGCTGGTCTTCCTGTACCTTACCAAGTCACACTTTAGGAACTAGGACTTGAGTAACTAGTGTAAGCAAATGCTGTCACTTTGGTTATTGCTTTTACTGTTAGTAATAAAGTTCTTTGTTTCTGGCCCAGAAAGCTTCTTTCGCCAGCATCCATAAACTGTGGTAGTTAACGTGTTAGCTTGCAAGTCGACTAAATTCTCAGACCACTGGAAGTTTTTATCTCCAATGAATGGGAGGTGAGAAAGAGAGATTACTGCAACAGGATGGGTAGAAGGTGGCATAGTCTGAAAACATGAGATAAATTTTGGAGATGTTTTAGAAGAGAAAAAGGTCTGGAAAAAGTAATGAAAAGCAAAGAGAACATCCTCCAGGTTCAATGACATGAAGAAAGCAGGAGAGAAAACTGCTACTACCTGACAGGGTGGCAGGTAGTGTCATCAGGCAACCCAGATTTAACTGAGAGTAAAAAGCTGAAGGTAACAGTAATAAAAGAGGTTGAAGGTAAGGAGGAATTTGCTGATGACTGACTTTGAGTTTCAGGGACATTATGAAAGTGTTAGAGCAGGCAGATAGCTAGATATGAGCATACAAAGGGGGACACAGACCAAATGGCAGGAATTGGGCAGAAAGGAGGGGCACAGGCCAAATGCAAGAAACCACACATCATGTAAGCAGCAGGGGTCCTTAGGTAGAGAAACAAAAGGAGGAACCTTGGGGCTGATAAGGGATCATGCTTTTTGGGATGACAAGTGGCCTGGAGAAGAACAAAGAAAGGTGAAAAGGCAGGAATTTCTAGTGTCCGAATGTGACCTTTTGCTCATTATGCCC